ACTACAACACATATAAAAACAATTCAAATACAACATATAAAGCAAGTATGGATATTTTGGGAAATCATTTTTCGAGCTCCGACTGACTGTACACATCAAATCTTCTCTTTTCTTCTCTTGAAATGAATATTCTCCAAAAAGGTTTAGCAAAACTCTCAACTCCGTAGTTTGAGTTTGGAATCCCACAAGTGTTCATCCAAATCCCTCAAATCAGGGATCTGATACCAACCTGTGACATCCCAATTTCACAACCAAAAATTTTCATTTTTAATTAGGGAAAAACTACTCATTTTCACAATACAAGGCGAGAAAACCAATAGTTCCAAAGTACATTTTTTTAAATCAGAGTTTTATAGTAAACGTGAAATCTTCATTGCTGCCGATGAATGTGTACAGTCACACCTTCGCCTTTCCACGATCACAGATGATGCATGAAAACAATAACAATTGGATAAGCACAAAGCTTAGTGAGTTTCCCCAAAATGCCACATACAACACAATATAATATAACAACTATGGGTTATCAGCAGCCCTGGAGACTACTTGAAGTCTTAGTGGGCAAACAACACACCCTGAGGGTTATCAGTAAACCTGGAGCTACCCGAAGTCTCAGTGCCCAAACAGCACGCCTTGTGGGTTATCAGCAACCCTGGAGACTACCCAAAGTCTTAGTACACACAGTAACACACATCAAAGTAATCGGAAAATAAGACCCAGTTGGTAAGCACGTATAGACTACTACTTATGCAAATATAGTGAGAAGACTCACTACCACCTACTAGAATCCTCACAACACACTGCTCCACTACCGACAAATCTCCATGGAATGCATAGCCATAAGTAATCAGAGGTGAGATAGTCACGCAAACAGATGATCTTACTCGAAAGACACAACCAAAGAAGGAACATGCAAGAAAGCCTAGATCAAGAGTTCTCAGGCTATCCTACATGACTACATACGATCCTGAGGCATTCCATTAGAAAATAACCAACCTACTGCTACTCTAACCAGCATACCCTACTGCTAAATTAAAAGTCAACTGCTAACTACCCCTCACGACGTGACCATCAATTTCTCACGTCGTGAGCAACTAAGAGACAAAATAATCAAGCATCTTGATCCTCACGACGTGACAAGCATAACTCACGGCGTGAGATCAGTTTAAATGGCATTTTGATGCAAAAGCTTTGTATCGTCCCATTTTCACGACCAATTTTTTTTCATTGTATTTAAAGTAAAACTCCCCAAATATAAACCCATTTTAAGTAAACCATTTATTCCTAATTACAATTATTAAAAAATTAGAGTATTATAATGAACGTGAAATCCTCAATGTTGCTGATGAGTGTGTACACTCCTGCCTTCGCCTTCCTATAGCCACCGATGATACCTGAACAATAAACAACGGGGTAAGCATAAAGCTTAGTGAGTTTCCCTCAAAATACCCCATACGATAAACATACAAGCGTGCATAACGGCCCACAACCTCCCAGTTAGAATGCCCATGCCTAACCAGTCCTTGGACTGGAATGCAAACATGCAATGGGTCTAATCAGCCATCGGGCTGGAATACCCAAGGTTTGTTGGTCAATCATACAGCTCACTACCGCCTACTAGTCCTCACACAACACACCGTCCCGCTACCAGCTAACCTCTATGAAGTCCGTAACCATAAGTAACCAGAGGTGAGATAGCCACCCGAACAAATGATCCTACTCCATAGCCACAACCAAACAAGGAACATGCATGAAAGCCTTGATCAAGAGTTCTCAGGCTATCCTACATTACCACATACAGTCCCTACGAGACTCCACTAGATGATAACCAACAAGTACAGGTAGACATATAGATGTATAGATCCCTACCGCATAGCAACATCCTACATACCAAAATACATATCTAACAGATCACTACAACATAGCAACATCCTATATACCATGATACAGATCTAATAGATCACTACAGCAAAACAACATCCCATATACCAAGATACAGATCTAACAGATCACTACAGTATAACAACATACTAAGTACCAACAATCCAAGGAATACATGACCGTATATACTCAGATGTGAGATAGACACCTGGACAGGTGATCCTACTCTAGATCCATAACCAAAGAAGGAACGAGCAAGAGAGCCTAGATCAAGAGTCCTCAGTCTATCCTACATGACCATATACAGTCCCTATGGCATCCCTCTACTAAAAGATAATTAAAAATAGTGGTCCGGTATTGGTGCCTTCGACCCACGGGTACAATGAGGCAAAAATTCACCTGAATCAAAGAACTTTGAAACACTGCGATACGATCGCTTTTTAGCACTGCTTGCACCCACGAATAAGCTAACCACCAAAACAAAGTAAAATATTTATCAACAACCCAACTCCTTCAAGTTTGACCTAAAGTCAAACTGGCCAAAAAGTCAACGACCAAACTTGGTCAAGGTCAACACCACGTCGTGGGCCTCCTTGCCCACGTCGTGACAATGCCAAAACAAGGCAGTCGCGGTTTTTGACTTCCCCACGCTGTGGATACCATTACCATGCCGTGGACACTAGAACATCACCAATTTCTCAATAAGAGCTTAATCCTTTCAGATCTAAGCTCATACTTCCAGATCTACTTCTCAATACTGACTTAATGGATAAAATTTCCAACTTTATCAATTAAGACCTCACCATAGGACAAGATCTTAAACCCTAAGTCCATTAAGTCCTAAATGTGACCAAAACTCCAACATGAGGCTAAGAACACTCAAGCTAAGACCTTTTTCTCACTAGCCCAAAAGTTCATGACCAAATGAGCACCATATCAAACTCTGAAGTTCCTGAAACTCCAAGAGCACTCAAAGAATGGGACCAAATCATCCAAAAATGGGCTCAAACATCAAACAAGAAACACAAAGGTCAAGGTAAGAACTTTATACCTTCAATAACTCAGAAATGTGAAGAATATCTTGGATCTAAGCTTGCTCCTTACTTCCTTGCACCAAAATGAACCACCTTCTTCTTTAAGTTTCACCAAATGGAGCAAACAACCTCAAGATATAGCCACCAAGCTCATTTCCATGGAAGAGAGGCTAGGGTTTTGGAATTTGGAGATAGAGGCTGAAAGAAATGACCTAGAATGGGGGTTAAGGGGATTAAATATGGAAGAAACCCTAAAACTTAGTGGGCTTGGGCTGCACCAGCTGCCACGTCGTGGGTACCTTCACCATGCCGTGGCGGGCATCTAAAATGCGTTCATAACCTTTCATATGTGGCCATCCATGACCATGTCGTGGCACACAGACTTTCCCCCCAACTCCTCCCTTTGATTCTTCCATGCTCGCAACTGGCCTACTAAGGAAAACGGGTGTTACAAACTCCTTAATCCATTAAGCCACTAATCCAATTTCTCCAGCAGGCTTCCTTACATAAAAAAATTGATGCTTTAAAGGCTTGCATGTCTAATGCAAGACTTGAGCTCAAATTAGGGCATTCATGAGGAAAAGGAGGTCAAAACCTCAAGCATGAGCTCAAACATCCTCCAAACTTCAGATCCATCACATATAATCAGCAAGGGACTCTAAGGACCCATAAAGTTGCTAACTTTATGAAGTCCCAACACTCTAACCCATCAAACCATGGATAAACATACATAAAACCTTTGATCTAGCAACAAGGAATCATAAAGCTTGAGTCTTGGTTACTCACAATGGTCCAAAGATGTTACTAGAAGATGCAAATGAAGCTTCCAAGCTGAATCTATGCTCCAATGGTGATCCCTTCTTCTTTAAGCCACTAAAACACCATCAAAAGCTCAAGAATCTCAAGGAGAGGCTAGGGTTAGGGTTTTTCTTTGTTTGAGGACGAAGGAGGCTGTTTTTTTAAGAGATATATTTTTTTTAAAATAGACGAAGGAGGCTGGAACCCTAAAATGAAGTTTATGGGGTTTAAATACAAAGGGAACCCTAACAGATCATGGGCTTGCACATAAGTCTCGCGTCATGAGCTAAGATTAAATCAACATTTCCATTTTTATCACTTCTCACGTCGTGAGCACATAAGTCTCATGTCGTGACACCTGGTTTTACCCAAAAACCATGTCTTTGCCTCATTGAAGCCCAAAACCGATCCGTTCTGAAAATTAGGTGTTACATTTACAATAGTTTTATCAAACAGATTGTATTATCTTACATTAATCTTATGATATTTTTTTGTGTGACAAAGAATATCTATTATGAAAAAAAAATACTCTAAAAAATAATTGTTTTTATTATATTTATGTCTAACGAATTATATTATCTTAGCTTAATCTTATGATGTTGTAGATAATATATATTATGATAAGATAATACAATTCGTTAGACAAAAATATTATAAAAACAATTATTTTTAGAAGAAAAACTATTTTTATAACATATATTATCTGACAGAAAAATACTATAAGATTAATGTATGATTATATAATCTGTTACACAAAAAAAATTCTACGATAATAAAATAATATTTAAAAAAATTAAAAATAATATATTTTTAAAAAGTTCTTATATTATTGATTTATTTGCAAAAAAAAGTTATTATATTCTCGTGGTGACCGGTTTACGGTAAAATGTGACCGGTTTACGGTAAAATGGTCAAAGTGAATACGACAACGGTTTTTAGAAATTAATTGACTAAAAAGTAGATAAGAAATAAGTCGATTATGTGTTCTAAACATAAAATTTTTTGAATAAATTGTTCATTTTTGTTTAATGAATTTAGAGATTAAATTAATTAATTATTTATTTATTTTCTTTTATTATTGTTAGAAGAAGGCACCATTCCACGTAGAAGATCAAGAGAAGGTACCATTCCAACAATAACGCGACTTCTAGCAAAAGTCAAAAATAAAAACAGGGTCCTTTTATTCCCACGCTACCCACAACCCACCTATAAACTCTCACAGCTCTGTCTCTCTTTCTCCCTTACACGCCACCCTCCTCCTCGTCTCCGGCGACTTTCTATGCTCAAAAGATGAGTTCCATTTGCAAGAACAGAATCTGCTTCTCTGATGCACCAATTGCGTTTTCTCTTTTATTAGTTTCACTGCTGCTATCGCTCTCTTCTGTGGAAGCTCAACCGGCATCACCACCAGATGATTATCCCTATGCTAGATTCAGCCCTTCAATGGCCATCATAATCGTCGTTCTTGTAGCTGCTCTTTTCTTAATGGGGTTCTTCTCCATATACATCCGACGGTGCTCAAACGACGGCGGAGCCAGCCTCCGTGCAGGTCTTTCCATGCGCCGTGCCGGCAGAGCAGCTGCAGCCTCTCGTGGTCTCGATTCAGAAGTGCTTGAGACGTTCCCGACCTTCGCTTACTCAGCTGTGAAGGAACTTAAGATCGGAAAAGGAGCACTGGAATGCGCCGTTTGTCTTAACGAATTCGAAGACGAAGAAAATCTCCGGTTGATCCCCAAATGCGATCATGTTTTTCATGCTGAGTGCATCGATGCTTGGCTCGAGAATCACGTAACTTGCCCTGTCTGCCGATCCGATCTCGTTCCTAAACCCGGTGATACAACTCAAATCGAATCAGGAGCTGCGGAGGGAGCTGATAACCAGACGACGGCGGCTGCGGATGAAGGAAATACAGTCACTGACGTCTCGATTACAATCGGAGACGATGTCGTCGACCCAACTCCACAACCGGCGGTCCTCAACCGGAACCAGAGTGCCAAAACAAACCTCCCACCACGATCAAAATCCGTACGTGGACCTAAACTGTTTGAGAAGTTCCGATCACATTCCACCGGACATTCACTGGTTCAACCTGGTGAAAACACAGACCGATTCACGCTAAGATTACCGGAGGACGTGAGGAAGCAAGTGATAACCAATGGTCTACTGAACCGATGTGGAAGCACCGTGAGGGTGGTCGGAGAAGGGAGTGCAAGGAAGGGGTACAGAACCGGCGAGGGTAGTAGCCGGGGAAGATCTTACCGGCGAATGGGGAGTTTAGACAGGGTTTTCTCAAAGGCGCCGTCGTTCTTGTCTCGAGCATTCTCCGTTAGATCTCCTAAAATCGTGTCAGATAACGGTGGCGCGTCAACGTCTTCCGTCGATAAAATTCCTCTCAATAACATTGGGCCGAAGAGTGACGAGCCCGGTTCGGGAAGTGCTGACTCTGGTCGGCCGCCGGTTTAGTATCATGGTCGCCGGTTTTTGTTGCCGATTTGGATTCGAAAGCAATGTCGGGGCCACACACGAATTAAAAATTTAGGCGGAGTTGTCAAAGTTGACGTTGCGATCCTCGTGGTGGTTTATTAAACTTAATTTTTTTTTTGATTTTTGTAAAAATTTTAAATGTAATTTTTTAAATTAAAATTTGTTCATATTTGTTTGCGTATCGCGATGTGACTGAATGTGTTTTCCGCCAAATGAGAATGTTTAGCCGATAAAACAATCATCTAAAAATGTTTTCCATTTTTTTGGAAGAAGAATTATATGTTCTTAATTACTAATCTAGTCAAATTAAGAGGGTAATTATCAATTTTTAGCCAAAAATTAGCAAATGGTCAAAAATAGTCCACGAAACCGTAGGTTTCGAGATTCGCCTACTGTTTCGCAATTTCGTCTACTGTTTCGCGTTTTGTATAATTTTTTTTTTTTCATTTTTGACATTCAAAACCGTAGGTTTTTTAAAACCTACGGTTTCCTCTCGAAACCTACGGTTTTCGCAAAAAAAGCTACGGTTTTTTTTATTATTATTTGTTTTGGGGTTTTATCTACTATTTTGGGGGTTTTATCTACTATTTTGTCCAAAAAAACTACGGTTTTAATTTTTTATTTTTTTTTATATTTTTTATTATTATTATTTTTTTTGTAATATAGAGTATAAAAAAGAGTGTTTATAATATGTACAATAACTTTAAGAATTATTTTGTTTAAATTTTAACAATTATTTGGTTTGAATTATTTTGTTTAAATTTTAACAGTAGTCAACTCTGACGAAAAAGTAGACTACTTTTTGGGTAAAGTTGACTACTTTGTTGCTAAATTTGACTACTTTTTTTTGTTAAACTTGACTACTTTTTCGTCAGAGTTGACTACTGTTTTCAACCTATCTTATATATATTAAGTATTTTATATTTTTGGAAAGTTTATTCTCTCTAGCTTCTTTATCCTCAAAATTAAGATAATGAGTTGTAACGAGTATTTTGTATTGCTCATTACGGATGGAAGATGAGTGTTTGTTAATTCCCAATTATCATATGTTTGGCCACTGGGATACAATTCGAGAATGTTTTATTTAGGTGTTGAATTTTACGAAAACACAACGTTCACCGAATTTGTTACGTTGGTCAAGTGCAAGATGGTTCTTCCCGAAGAATCAAAAGTTAGTTTGGACTATCAACATCCAGAACAACTCTATTATTGTGGTATTGTTGATGATCGTGATATTAGAAAGCTGATGAAGGTAATAAATGGTGTTGGAGATAAATATGTGTCTGTGTATGTGGTGGTTGAAGAAGGCGTTTGGCCGAACGAAATGGATAATAGAGGAAAGACATTTGCAGCAAATTTATCAAGTGGAAAAGGGAGCAACAACCCAATAGGTAATTTTAAAAGTCCAAGTAAAAGTCAATATCATAGTGTTGCTGAAAATGTAAATGTAGTGCCAGAACCGATTATGTATGTTACACCGGAGAATTATAAGTATATCGGTGATAATGATGTTGGTGCATATGTTAATGATGTTGGTGTAAATGATTCATTTGACAAAAAAGAAAAGCAGTAGCCGTGGTGAATAAGGTTGGTAATGAATCTGGAAAACAGGAAGTTCCGTTTTTGCATGATGGTGAACTAAAAGGATATGGCGAGTTTGCGGATTGTGACAAGTTGGATATATCCGGCCTAGATAGTGATTCTAACGGAGAAGAATTAGATGACGAATCTAAGCTTATTTATTCAGAAACCATGTTTCATGGTATGCCCCCTTTGCCTTCGTGTCCTGTAAACGCTGATGTGAACATTCCATGTCAGAGGGTGGATATAAGTGAAGAGATTAAGGTTTTAGACATTTTTATGACAAAGAGTTGCTCAAACTTGCAATCGGAAGACAATGCATGGAATAAGGTAAGCAGTATAAGACTACCAGATCGAGCAAAGGAAGGTTCGAGGTTGTTTGTTTGGTTAAAAATTGTTCATGGATGGTTAGGGCAAGGGGAATCCAATCGACTACTGCTTTCTAAGTCACAAAAGTTGTTGACCAACACACATGTTGTGCAACAAATTTGGAGTCTAATCATCGACAATCAAAGAAATAGGTACTCGGCCACTTTATCGCTGAAGTATTGGCCGGAGACTATAATAGAGTTTATCGGGATAATGAAATTGTTAGGGACATCAATTTGAAATTTCCAATCAATATCTCATACCAACAGGCATGGCGTGCAAAACAGTATGCGTTGTTGATGTTAAGAGGTACCAAAGAGGATTCATTCACCAAACTACCAGCGTATCTGCACAACTTGGTCAAGCACAATCCAGGAACTGTTACTCAGATAAGAGTAGACGATGATGATCGGTTTGAGTTCGTGTTTATCGCGTTGGGTTGCTCGGTAAGCAGTGTTAATTTTTATAACAAATATAACATATGAATCCTAATTGGTATTTGTTAATGCAATGAAAAATAATTGTAGGTACGAACGTTTATCAAGTATTGTAGGCCGACCCTAATAATTGATGGTGGTCACCTAAAGGGTGAGTTCAAAGGCACGATGTTGCTCGCAGTGACAATGGACGGTCAAAACCAAATCATGCCTGTTGCTTATGCCATTTGCAAAAGTGAATGTACGGAGACGTGGTGCTGGTTCCTTCGAAAGCTACGTGAATGTATAGGCAACTTGGAAGACCTTACAATCATATCTGATAGGGCTCCATCCATAGCGACGTCAATTGCAAATATATTTCCTCACGCCTATCATGGAATATGTGGTATCCATTTGTATTTCAACATTTCAGCAAAATTTGGAAGTAGCGATACAATGCACGCATTATTTTGGGAGACATGCAAAGCCTATACCATTAAAAAATTCGATAATGGGATGAAAAAAATAAAAAAATGTAAATATTCGTGTATGGGAATACCTACAAAACATCAATCCAGAAAGATGGGCCAGGGCACATTTTCCTGGGAATCGGTATTTTCTTATGACATCAAATAGTGCGGAGTCGATAAATTCAATGTCACGATTTGCAAGAAAGATGCCAATATTGATGTTGATTGAGTATTTTCGTGCAACAATGCAACAATGGAGTTTTCAGAAACGTAATGTTGCAGGTACTAATATTTTATATACATTGTTGATTGAGTATTTTCGTAACTCGTGTAGTAATAATTTTATGAAAAATTATGTCTATTTTTTTAGCTGAAACTAAAACAACACTCACCCCATGGGCTGAAACGATTATACAAGCAAATAAGAATGCTTGTAATAATTGGATGGTGTACCCTATCTCAAATAGCAGATTTGAAGTGAAAAGCTCTAACCACAAAAGTGTCATTGTTGATTTTTCAACAAAGAACCTGTACATGTAGGCGGTGGCAAATAGGTGGCTTACCTTGTGGCCATGTTATAAAAGTGTTGACAATGAACTGTTACGAAGATTGTTCGGAATTCGCTTTAAAAGCTTACTTTACAGAAACATTGAGGAAAACTTACGAGGAGTCTGTGAACCCTTTACCAAGTCCATCTGAGTGGGACATCCCCGATGATCTGATGACCGTGAAGCCACCCATAATGGAGAGACGTCATCCGGGTAGGCCAAGAAACACTGGACGTATTCCGTCGCAAGGTGAGCGTCCCATACGACAAGAATGTTCTACATGCGGTCAATTTGGACACACGAGGAACGATTATACGGGTAGGGGATCGGGGAGCGGATCTGGGGGGAGGAAAAAATCTACACAAAAGGGCATAATGAATGATGAATTTGCATCCGAGAGCGGGTCACAGAACGAAAGCGTGTACCCTACTTTTGATTTCAATAGCACATTTGATTTGAATTGTCATTAGATTAATGTAGGAAAGCAATGGAATTCCCGTATTTGTAATTTGTATTGCTTGTATTAAAATGCACTTCTGAGATTATTAATTAAATCTAGTACTCCACTTATTAACTCCTTTATTCCATAAAAAATAAAACACAAACATAAAACATTATAGAAAATGAGATACACCCTTACGAAACATTACATAAGACATTTCACATAAAAGAGCCTTCTACATGAAATATTTGTTATTTTTAAGTAGGATCCATGATTCCTCATACTCGGAGTCACTTCCCTCGTGCTCCAAAATGTAATGATCTTTAACCATTTCTAAAAGATCTTTGTCGTTGTTTGGATAACGATACATGTTTTTAAGATGATGATACCATCGATTAAACCATGTGATTTTTTCCTTTGAATCCATCCACTTACCAAAAATATATTCTTGTGTTCGGTGTTTTCCTTCTCCCAACGAGAGGTTAAACATGGTTGTTATGTGGTTCCATTCATCACCTTCTAAGAAATCAGGGTTAACCATGGTTACATCATCGTAAATGTTCATCCAACAACGTGTTACCACCATTACCTCTCTTATCGTCCATGGATGTGGAGTATTGGACGGAGAAGCTGCGTTGGAAGAAGTTGGTTGATTGGAGGCCATTTTTTTAAGTTTTTTGTTAGTTTGTTATAATTTTATAGGAGTACTTAAATAAGAAAAAAGAATAACATACAATTAGGTGGATTCCCATAAGTACTGTTTGAAACTACATTATGCAAGCTACAAAGCAGTAGTCAAAGTCTACAAAGTAGTAGTCATAGTCTATGAAACCGTAGTCAAATAATGTCAAAGAGTAGTCCAATTGTCAGATACCTTACACGGAGATACTGTTTGAAACGAAAAATATACTGTTCGAAAAGACAATACATTATGCAGGCTACAAAGTAGTATTCAAAGTCTATGAAACTGTAGTCATATAATGTCAAAGAGTAGTCCACTTGTCAGATACCTTACACGGAGATACTGTTTGAAACGACAAATATACTGTTCGAAAAGACAATACATTATGCAGGCTACAAAGTATTAGTCAAAGTCTATGAAACGATAGTGAAATAATGTCAAAGAGTAGTCCGATTGTCAGATACCTTACAC